GAGCAAAAGAGCTCAAAACTTTTGCTTACCATGTCTGCCACCAAAACAAATGTAGAATCATAGAGCTGGAAGAGACCTCAGGAGGTCATCAAGTCCAGCCCCCTGCTCAAGGCAGGACCAATCCCAACTGTAGCAGATCCTTTCAGATCTCTGTTGTACCTGCCTACTAACTGCCTAAAAATGTAACTTCGACCTTGTACATAACATGTGCCTATTGTGTAGGACAGAGGTTCTTTCATAGTAAAAGATTAGCTTCTGCTTTCTACAATGTGTCTTCTCTAAAGTCTGCTTTTCACTATTTTCATTACAGTGGGTACAACAGATTGTCTATTGCCCACTCTCCCAGCTCCTCCAGTGGTTCAGCTATCACAGATCAGAAAGTGAAAAAACATACTCAGAATGATACATTTAATGAGCAAATGCAATGTGTCTGCAGCAACAGGGTGCAATTAAATGCATGGGGGAGAATGATACTGCAGGTGATATGAATAGAGCATAAGGAGAAGGGACCCTGGCTATGTCTAGACTACACATTTTTTAAAAAAAAAAAAAAAGTAGCCTTTTTTCAAAAAAAATTCACCTGCCGTCGCATTCTTTCAAAATTAAATCAAAAGAACATGGCAGTTTTTTTCAATAGCAGTAAACCTCATTTTATGAGGAAGAACGCCTTTTTTCAAAAGAGCTCTTTCAAAAAAGGTATTCTTGAATGCAAACAGGGCTTTTCCAAAAGAGAGCATTCAGATTGCCGGGATGCTCTCTTTTGAAAAAGCAGATTGCTTTTTCAAAAGTCTTGTGGATGTCTAGACAGTCTCTTTTGAAAGAGGCTTGTAGTCTAGGCGAACATAAGAACAGCCATACTGAGTCAGACCAAAGGTCCATCCAGCCCAGTACCCTGTCTAGCCATTAATGGACTTAACCTCCATGAATTTATCTAGTTCTCTTTTAAACCCTGTTATAGTCCTAGCCTTCACAACCTCCTCAGGCAAGCAGTTCTACAGATTGACTATGCACTGTGTGAAGAAGAACTTCCTTTTATTTGTTTTAAACCTGCTGCCCATTGGTGGCTCCTAGTTCTTATATTATGGGAACAAGTAAATAACTTTTCCTTATTCACTTTCTCCACACCACTCATGATTTTATAGACCTCTATCATATCCCCCCTTAGTCTCCTCTTTTCCAAGCTGAAAAGTCCCAGTCTCTTTAATCTCTTCTCATATGGGACCCGTTCCAAACCCCTAATCATTTTAGTTGCCCTTCTCTGAAACTTTTCTAAGGCCAGTATATCTTTTTTGAGATGAGGAGATCACATCTGTTCACAGTATTCAAGATGTGGGCGTAACATGGATTTATATAAGGGCAATAAGATATTCTGTCTTATTCTCTATCCCTTTTTTAATGATTCCTAACATCCTGTTTGCTTTTTTGACTGCCACTGCACACCTGCGTGGACATCTTCAGAGAACTATCCATGATGACTCCAAGATCTCTTTCATGATTAGTTGTAGCTAAATTAGCCCCCATCATATTATATGTATAGTTGGGGTTATTTTTTGCAATGTGTATTACTTTACATTTACCCATATTAAATTTCATTTGCCATTTTGTTGCCCAGTTACTCAGTTTGGTGAGATCTTTTTGAAGATCTGCTTTGATCTTAACTACCTTGAGCAATTTAGTATCATCTGCAAACTTTGCCACCTCACTGTTTACCCCTTTCTCCAGATCATTTATGAATAAGTTGAATAGGATTGGTCCTAGGACTGATCGTAGGGGAACACCACTAGTTACTCCTCTCCATTCTGAAAATTTACCATTTATTCCTATCCTTTGTTTCCTGTCTTTTAACCAGTTCTCAATCCATGAAAGGATCTTCCCTCTTATCCCATGACAACTTCATTTACATAAGAGCATTTAGTGAGGGACTTTGTGAAAGGCTTTCTAGAAATCTAAGTACACTATATCTACTGGATCCCCCTTGTCCACATGTCTGTTGACCCCTTCAAAGAACTCTAATAGATTAGTAAGACGTGATTTCCCTTTACAGAAACTATGTTGACTTTTGCCCAAAAAATTATGTTCTTCTATGTGCCTGACAATTTTATTCTTTTATTAATTGCCGGGATCTCCTCTAGAGCTCTTTTTAAATATTGGCGTTACATTAGCTATCTTCCAGTCGTTGGGGACAGAAGCTGATTGAAAGGATAGGTTACAAACACCTTTTTGGATGTTCTTATTACATTTTTACACTTAATTTGGCAGTGGTTATGCTCCTTTCTCTTTACCTCACTAGGATTTTACTTCCATTTTTTAAAAGATGTCTTTTTATCTCTCACTGCTTCTTTTACATGGTTGTTAAGCCATGGTGGCTCTTTTTTAGTTCTTCTACTATGTTTTTTAATTTGGGGTATGCATTTAAGTTGGGTGTCTTTGAAAAGTATCCATGAAGCTTGCAGGGATTTTACTTTATTCACTGTACCTTTTAATTTCTCTTTAAATAACCTCCTCATATTTGCATAGTTCCCCTTTTTGAAATTAAATGCCACAGTGTTGGGCTGCTGAGGTGTTCTTCCCACCACAGGAATGTTAAATGTTATTATATTATGGTCACTATTCCCAAGCGGTCCTGTAACTGTTATCTCCTGGACCTGATCCTATGCTCCACTCAGGACTAAATTGTGAATTGCCTCTCCCCTTGTGGGTTCCTGTACCAGCTGCTCCAAGAAGCAGTCATTTAAGCCATTGAGAAATTTTATCTCTGCTTCTCTTCCTGAGGTGATATGTATCCAGTCAATATGGGGTTAATTAAAATCCCCCATTATTATAGAGTTCTTTATTTTGGTAGCCTCTCTAATCTCCCTCAGCATTTCAATGTCAGTATAACTGTCCTGGTCAGGTGATCGGTAATATATCTCTACTGCTAATTTCTTATTATTGGAGCATGGAATTACTATCCATAGCAATTCTATTGAACATGTTGATTCATTTAATATTTTTATTTCATTTGATTCTACAATGTCTTTCACATACAGTGCCACTCCACCATCCACCCGGCCTGCTCTATCCTTCCGATATATTTTATAACCCGGTATGATTGTGTCCCACAGATTTTCCTCATTCCACCAGGTTTCAGTGATGCTTATTATGTCAATCTCCTCCTTTAATATGAGGTACTCTAGTTCACCCATCTTATTAGTCAGACTCCTAGCATTTGTGTAGAAGCACTTTAAAAATTGTCCACTGTTTATTCGTCTGTCCTTTTCTGATGTGTCAGATTCTTTTCTATGTGAATGTTTTTCGTCTGATCTGGCCCATACTTTATCCTCTTCTATCCTCTCCTCCTCACTAAAACCTAGAGAATCTCTATCAATAGACTCTCCTTTAAGTGACGTCTCTGTCCAATTCATGTGCTCCTCTGCACCAATCGGCTTTCCTCCGTCTCTTAGTTTAAAAACTGCTCTGTGATCTTTTTAATGTTAAGTGCCAGCAGTCTGGATCCACTTGGGAACGTGAATGCAAGACTCATGCTGAAATATTGAGGTTTGTGGGACACCAAACAGCTGCTGAGACACCTGGTACAGGCACAGGAGAAACATCTGAAGCATAGATCTCCACGGCACCCCATGCTGAACTGCCTGCTTTCCTCCCCAACTTCTATAACCTCCTCTCCCAGGTGTACTAAAATGCAGGGGTGAGGGTGGGGGAAGTCAAGGGCAGCCTTGCACTCAACTCCCAGGTATGTCTTCTAGAACACAAGGCTTTCATTCCCGCATCTGTGATGCTGAATAGGAGGATATTCCACTTGCCCATGATCTCCAGAAATTAGGCCTAGTGCTCAGTGTGCTGAGAGCGTATTTGTCAGAAATATTAGCATTATTTCCCCTGATTCAAAGGAAATCTTTTTTTTTCAAGTGCCATGATAAGATTTCTGAGGGGGGACTCACTGCTTACTTCCTTCAGTCGAAAAACTCGTTCGCTTATGACACTTAAGCATAGACAGCATGATGGGACATTCCATATGTGTTATGCAAATATGCTTATGGTATGAATGTCATAATTGAGATATGCTTTATGCAAGATGGCGCATGTAACATATCATTGGAAAGGTTGTGATTTACTGAATTTGATTATCCCATTTGTATGCATGTATAATTTTTGTAGATGAAGTTAGGAATACTTACCTGTATATCTGTATAGTATATTCCCTGCTTTGGGTCACTCCCATTACTGGAACTTCAGGGACTACAATGAAAAAAACAAGCAAATCTGATTGACCCATCAGCAAAAGACAATGAACGGTGAAAGAGCTTAACTCTTTCTGCTAATGTGTGAGTCAGCCTGCAAAGAATGGCTACAGAGTCCCTACAGAGACTTGCGACTATGTCATCTGCTTCTGGAACACTGCAACTATCCAGAAAATTTTTATCCAAGGTGGAATCAGTTTCATCTGAACAAGGAGGTGCATTTATGTGTTTTTTCCCGTAAAGGTCTCTCCTCCTTAGAAGAACAGCACCTTCCTATGGTGGATATCAAGCAATGTATAGCCTTTTATAAAGACAGGAATAAACTGTTTTGTGTATTGCCTTGCCTGTTTGTATCATACTTGAATTTCATGAAAGGGCAAGTGGTCATTGCACTGCTATATAAAATTACTCATTTGACATCCATGATCTTTATAGGGAATACACAGATATTGAATATATTTAATTATTACTAGTTATAAAAGGTAATTGAATTTATACCTTAGAAATTTGTGTTGCCTTTCTTCTACTTTTTGCTACATTTGTTTACTTCCTCTGTCTGGATTCATATAATTATAGTGCCAAATGATAATTTTCTCTCTTTTTATTCAGTATTTTATAATGTTATAGATAGGACACAGTTTGAAAGCTGTTCATCTTTATAAGAATGTCAGTATTAAATCTTCATTGCAGTTGCCATTTAATTTGCTTTTGTTATACATGATAGGGTGGTTGTTAATTTGTAAATATTTTTGTTTTAAGAATTTGGAAGAGAACTTAAAAAAATTAATTAGAGATGAAAGAGGAACTTGGCAACTGACGCAGGTAAACAAGACATTAACACATGTATTTCACATATAAACTCATTTTACATATATTTTTGTAATGAAACACTTTTTCATCAACCTGGATGGCAGATAAATAGTTCTAACTTTTGATACATGCCCATTGGAAAACTGGCAGGATCTGATTATGGATAAACAGGCTGGTTAAAATAACTGTATCTAATTTTCAAAATGACTGTGAATTTCTGACTCTTTTTTTAAAGGCATGATTACCTTTGGCCTAAACCTAAAATGCATTGGTTTGTTCTGCAATAATGATTTTTTTCTTCACTTTGGTATTTTAGCTTATTTGTCTAAACCAAAGAGCCATGGCTGTGATGATAGTTTCCCATCAGTAAAGAATTTGACTCCTGACATGAATTTTCAGTACTTGAATTACCCATTCTCTAGATGTCTTCACTGGGACTAGGAACAACTTAAATACTTTAATTCCTTCATCTTCTTTAATGTAATACTTTGTTTACAGTTTTGTGGCCATATTGGACCCAGGCTAAGAGAGAGATAAGGAGGTAACATAATATCTGTTATTGGACCAATCTCTGTAAGTGGAAGGCACAAGCTGCTAAGAGCTGCTCTTGAGATCTGAAGAAAGGTAGTTCTGTGTCTGAGCTACATAGAAATTGCAAGAGCTTGCTAAGCATAAGTGATAATGAATGTTATAGAAAGACACTTGAAAACAGAGTGGACAATAAGTGTTCAATTGTATGCAAAAGGAGTTTGGAGTGGGTCATTAAGGGTTAGCAAGCAGTGTGATGTGTTACAGATTGTTGTAATGAGTCATAAACCCAATGTCTCTGTTGAATCCATGCTTTTTGGTTTCCAGCTGCATTGTGAATTTAAATTCCTGGGCTCACCTTTTGACGGTTATGCAGGTTTCCATTGAGGAAGTGTACTGAAAGATCAGATATAGAGTTATCACCTTGTGAAAACTGTTTGTCCATGTACTTGCAATGTCTTTTTATGTCTTTATTTCTATACATGTATAGAAATAATTAATCTGGAAAAGTGTGTTATAGGGGATATTGATCACCAGAGTAGTGGAGATACAGGCCATCCTTGCTATAAGTCCAAGATACGTTACCCTGTAAGTCCAAGTTTTTTGTATGTCTAGACTGCATCCCTCTGTCGGCAGAGGGATGCAGATTAGGCAGGTTGACATTGCAAATGAGGCAGGGATTTAAATATCCCGTTCCTAATTTGCATAAAAATGACTGCTGCGTTGTGCCAACTCAGCACTTTGTCAGCAAAAAGCGGCAGTCTAGAGGGGATCTGTCAAGAAAGAAAGCCTTTTTCGACAGATCCTGTTAACCTCCTTGCAGGAGCCATAAGGGATCTGAGAAGACACAGCCATTCTCCTTGCCACAGCCGGTGATATGACCGATGTTATCATGAGTGCTCTTCTTATTCATCTCACCGCAGAAGGTAGTCGCAGTCACAGTCACCGCAATCTTCTCGGCCTGAGTCTCCACACGGTCCGGACGAGTCTACGCCTTATGTTGCCCCACCATCCTCTGCTGGAGATGTGGATTCAAGCTATCAGGAAGAAAAGCAGGACCACACTCCTCGTCAGGCGCAGCAGAGCCCTGATTCCCCGGCGCAGCGTTCCTCTTCCTCTCCGGATGATGCGGTGGTCCCCGGGGACTTGTCTCCTATGAAGGACCAAAAGCAATTCCAGGAACTCTTCAAAAGGGTTGCTCAATCTCAGGACATCCAGACCATGGATGTGCAGCAGAAACAGCATCGGCTGCTAAAGAATTTACAACCTTCCCAAAAGTCGAAGCTCACCTTTCCCTTTGATGACACTATCCTAGAGGTTGCTAACGACATCTGCAGACTCCGGCCACGTTGTTACCAACTAGTAAGAGGTCGGACAAGAAATACTTCATAAGCCAGAAGGGTATGGAGTTTCTGTTTACACATCCTCAGCCTAACTCCCTTGTTGTGGACGCTGCACAACAGAAAGTAAAAATGTCTCAGACCAAAAATTCCTCAAACGACAAGGAGGATAAACGCCTGGATATTTTGGGCAGGAAAATATATTCCTCCACCACTTCTGCTCTGAGGATGTGTAACTTTGTGGCACAATTAGCAAATCACGATTTCAACAACTATTCGAAACTAATCCCTCTATTTGAACACATGCCAGATTCCAAATGTCAGATTCTCAAGATGGTGATACAAGAGGGTTATACAGTCACCTGAACAGCCTTGCAGATTGCACTTGACACGGCTGATGCAGCAGCTAGATCCACAGCTTCAGCCATAGTCATGTGTCAGGTGTCTTGGCTATACCAGGCCGCTGTCCCGAAGGAGTTGCAGGCCAAGGTGGAAGATTTGCCTTTCGATCGTCAGTCACTCTTCGCCCAGTCAACTGATCAGGTCTTCCACTAGGGCAAGGATACACGTACAACTTTGAAGACACTGGTGATGTACTTGCCTCCCTACAAGCATAGGAGATACATACCCTACAACAGGCAAAGGCCATTCTTTTATGCGACGCCTCGGACCAAGCCATATGATCAACAGAGACCAAAGCAACGTCCCCAAAAGCGATGCCAACAGCCTAACGAGGCATCCGTCCAACAGTAGGACAAGCAGCAGGTTTGATGTGTTGATCGAGGGACTTTGGACCACCCCGTTGACAGAGACTCCAGGCATCACAGAAGGTGTATTCCATCATCATCTCAGGCCTTATCAGCATCGTTGGGATCTCATATCCACCAACCGGTGGGTTCACGATGTAATCACTTCAGGATATGTCATTCCCTTCATTTCTCTTCCCTTTCCCTCCTCTTCCCCGTCCCTTTTCAGGGACCCTCTCACGAGACTCTTCTCCATCAAGAGGTCTCTTGTCTACTCACATTAGGGGCAGTGGAGAGGGTGCCAACACACTTTTTGGGGAGAGGATTCTATTCTCGTTACTTCCTCACCCAGAAAAAGTCAAGGGGTTGGAGGCCTATCTTGGACCTATGTCGGCTCAACCATCATCTGAGAAGGCAAAAATTCAAGATGGTCACGTTATCTTCGATCAGCCCTGCTCTCAACAAAGGGGACTGGTTCGCGTCCCTCGATCTTCAGGACGCTTACTTTCACATAACAATACACCTGGCTCACAGAAGGTTCCTTCGGTTAGTAGTGGGGTCTGACCACTATCAGTACCGCGTACTACCTTTCGGACTGTCGGCAGCCCCACGAGTTTTTTCCAAGACCCTTGTGGTAGTGGTGGCCTATCTACGACACCTCGACATTACAATTTTTCCATACCTGGATGATTGCCTGCTAAAGACTTCCTCTGTCGACAAGGCCACGAGGGCAGTGTCCACAACTACCACTCTGTTTACAGCCCTCCAACTCATAATCAATCTCGAGAAGTCCTTCCTGATACCTACTGTGACCTGGAGTTTATCGGAGCAAGACTCGACTCCCTGACCACGAGGGCATGCTTGCCTGTAAAGAGGTTTCAACTCATACAGGACTTGGTGCAGTCAGTATTAGTTTCTCCCAAGTCCCGAATACTTACCTGTCTACAGCTGTTGGGGCACATGGCGGCCACCATGTATGTGGTTCCGCATGCCAGGCTCCATCTGCGCAGTCTTCAGCATTGGTTGTTCACCGTGTACACGCCCCGCGTGCACAGTCCAAACAGGGTGGTTTCTATGCCCAATCAGGTCCGGGCTTCCTTGGCATGGTGGGACAGTCCCAACAATATGCTAACAGGGGTCCCCTTTCATGCCCGCAAACCATCACTACAAATCACTACAGATGCCTCCCTGCTTGGCTGGGGCGCTCACCTATAGGAGCACCGGGCACAGGGTCTCTGGATGCCCCAGGAGTCGCTATAACATCTACATTTTCTCGAGCTGAGAGCAGTCTTCAATGCTTGCAAGCACTTCCTACCCATCATTCGAGGTCACTCCATACAGATTCTCACTGACAACATATGCATGGTGTATTACGTCAACAGACAAGGAAGGGCATGCTCCTGCTCTCTGCGCAGAGGCTGTATGCCTGTGGATTTGGGCAATTCGATGAAGAAAAGAGAGATACTCACCTTGTGCATTAACGTCTGTTCTTCGAGATGTGTGTCCCCATGGCTGCTCCACGTCCCACCCTCCTCCCTGCTTCAGAGCCCCTGTTTATATCTTTCAGATGCTTCCGGTTGGGAAGAAACTGACAGGACCGGACCGCACTCAGCTGAGAGGCGTGACGAGGCAGTCACGCATGCACGGTCCGGTAGGGGGCTACTGCTAATGAAAATTTCTCCAATTTGCGGTTCCGGGATGAGCCCAGCTCCTTGAGTGGAGCACCCATGGGGACACACATCTCAAAGAACAGACGTTACTGCACAGGGTGAGTAACTCTTTTTTTTAAATTATTTGCAGTAGGTAGAGGTTTCATGGCTCACTACAATTTATAATACACACCTTCATGATAACTCACTTCAAACCCCTTTTTCAGAATAATTTAACCCTTACTGCCCCCTCCTTTTCATATGTTTAGTAATCTGTATATTTAGGTCAGACATAGAAGAACAGATCTTTGTGGTTCACAACTTGTGACTTCCTCCTACAAAAGTTGGTCCAATAACAGTTATTACATTACCTACCTTATCTGTTTAATGTAATACCAACATTTTTGTATTTTTGTCCTGTCCAGTCCCTTCACTGTGTTAATTAGTTCTGTTGATTACCCTTCCTTCCCTTTTGTATGCAATGTTGATGACATATTTTGGATCAGTGGCTAATTTTGCTCTTATTCTATAGATATTCCTAATAACACTGAGCAGAACTTGATAACCCTTGATTTTGAATATACACATATTTAATATGTTTGTATACATATGCATATACACATATTTAATTTGCAGTTCTGTTCATAGCATTTTGTTAGTCTCATGAATTAACTTTCAAATTTGGATTTTTTTTAAAATAGGTGGTTCCTTTTTGCTTCTGATTTCAGTGTAGTTGAAAATTAATTTTATGTCTTTTTAACAGGCCAGGATTAAAGCAATGTATGCTGAGCTAGAACAAAAGAAAAAAGAAAGCATTAAGACAAAAGAAGAAACTATAAAGAGGATTGCAGACATCGAAGGACCAGTGGCTGAACTAGAGGCAAAATATATTGAAAATAAAAATATACATAAAGAAAATATTGAGGTAATTTTTCTTAACTTACTTTTCCAGACAATAATTTAGAATACAGTTTAAAATACTTGGCCTGTTTACTAATATACTTACTGCTATTATTGGGGGAAAAAACAAGGAAAATCAAAGGACAAAATTCAGCTCTTAAGATTTTTGTAGTTATGCCTCGGTGTAATATTTCATATACTTCATTCAGTGACTGTTTCTTAGGTAACAGTTAAGAATTTTTAACTTTCAATTAACATGCCTTGACAATCCTCTTTCAGCTTTTATGTTGTCTACTTTAATTCTCACAAAAGTAAAGAACATATAGCACTGGAATAGTATGTCTCCTGTAAATTCCTGCTTAAAGTTCCAGATCTGTAGAGAAGGCAATTAGCCTTTAATCTGCTGCTATCAAGAAATTATCAGAGTTATGCAGTAGAAACTTATAACTTTACATACAATGTTCAAACACATATTTTATCAGGATAGTAATTTTCAACAGACTGAGTTTTCAAATGAGATTTCATAAGGCATACTTTGTACAAAATTTATCATAAGAGTTGTAAAAGTTGTGGCCGTAATAGTACAGGTTGGACCTTCCTGGTCTGTCACCCTCAGGATGAGGGACTTTGCCGGACCAGGGAAGGTCATTTCTGCTCCACCACCCGAGTTCCCCGAGCCATGGCCTGGAGCTGTCCCCACCCCCACCAGAAGGGCTCCTGGCCCTACCATGGCAGCCCCACCACTGCACACATAGCCCCACTACCAGGCTCCCAGCCCCACAGGGCAGCCCATTGCCTCCCAGTTGCACCACACAGCTGCACCACTGGATGGCAGTGGGACTGCCGAGCTCCTAGTTGTAATGCTGGGCGGCCCTGCTGCCAGCTCCTGACCTCACCACTGGGCTTCTGCCTACCCCAGAAGCAGCCAGAGAGCCAACACAGGCTGCCCCAGGGATGCAGCTAGCTTCCTGCCTTAGAAAGGCAGGATAAGGGACAGGAGGGAGGTGGGCTGTGTCCTGCAGCAAAGCTCAGGCCAAATTCAGCAGCGGGTTATGTCCTGCCCACTCTGCCTCAAACTCTTGGGAGAACTTGGGAAACAAAACCTCTCTGTGCCTTGGTTCAATGCACAATGGGGATAACCCCACTGCTCCCTGGTCTTTCTATGCGCTTTCACAACTGGGCTCCAGTCCCGCTGCAGGGCTCCCAATCACCAACCCTCCATGGGAGTCTCTGGTCCTGAATATCCATGGTCCTTCCGGGTAAGGGATGTTGCCAAACCAGAGTCCCAAATAAAAGAGGTTCAACCTGTATAGACAACGTGTAGGCAAGGCTTTAGTCCTTAGGGACTATGCCACAGAATATGGTAGTCTCACTATTAAGATATATGGTGATGTAAATAGGCATGAGTGTGGGGGGAGAGCCTTTAAAGTCAGGGGTGGGGAACCTTTTTTGAGTCAGGGGCTGCTGACCCACAGAAAAATCGGTCAGGCTGACCCACAGAAAAATCAGGGGACAGCGGGGGCTGGAATGCTGGTGCAGGCTCCCCAGTGCTGGGAGGGGAGAGGAGCCCTGAGCCCCGAGAGCAGGATCCAGGCTAGCCAAGGACCACATCTGGCTCCTGGGCCTTAGGTTCAGCACCCTGCTTTAAGTCATTCTCAATTTTCCACAGTGACTGCAACAAGTTTTTCTAGCATGCCTTGTGGATCTTGCTTAGATGATCATAGAAGTATGGGTCTCAAACTGTGAAGAGACTGTAATTCACATCTGTATGCGTGCTCTAGATTTTACTTACACTTCCTTTCTCTTGATCACTGCCATGTATTATATGAACAAGCATTCAGGAGTTCACTCTTGCTCAATGTGACAAGAAGCTTTATGGATCTGGAAAAAGAGTAGGCTGCTTCACTTGCCTAACGAAGAAAACATTTTAATCTGAAGTGAAAACACAGTAGTCTACATAAGTGGTTTCTCAAAAATGTAATTACTGCTTTAAACTTCTTAAAGTGGTGGACTCCTCAAACAGACTGCATACTCTTTGGTAGCAAATTAAAGTGCCTTCAGTTCTGTTCCAGACACAACAGAGAAGACATATGGCTATTTAATGGACTTTTTCTTCTACAGGAGTGGAGTCAAGAGTTCTACTATGGCTTTAATAGGAAGCCATACAACTTTTTACAGAAAAGTTCTCAGGAAAAAAATCATTTTTGTCTTGTGACTCTGCCAGATTTAATTTAGACACAATTTTTGGTTCTCAAACTAAAATGTTGGTAGTTATGAAAACTTTCATGCCCTCTTTCAGCCCACATGAATCTTCTTTAGCAGCATCATGGTTAAGCTAGTGAAGACCTCCATCTCTACTGCAAGAACTTCCCTAAGCAATCTCACCTACAATTTTCTTGGAGTTCAGTTTTCTGATTGTTAAATACAGGCAGTCCCCGGATTACGTACAAGATAGGGACTGTAGGTTTGTTCTTAAGCTGAATCTGTATGTAAGTCGGAACTGGCGTCCAGATTCAGCCACTGCTGAAACTGACCACCAGTTCTGACTTACATACAGAATCAACTTAAGAACCCCAAGCGTCCCCAAGTCAGCTGCTGCTGAAACTGATCAGCAGCTGATTCCAGGAAGCCTTCCCCGGATTACGTACAAGATAGGGACTGTAGGTTTGTTCTTAAGCTGAATCTGTATGTAAGTCGGAACTGGCGTCCAGATTCAGCCACTGCTGAAACTGACCACCAGTTCTGACTTACATACAGAATCAACTTAAGAACCCCAAGCGTCCCCAAGTCAGCTGCTGCTGAAACTGATCAGCAGCTGATTCCAGGAAGCCTGAGGCAGAGCAACTCTGCCTCGGACTTCCTGTAGTCAGCGCTGGTCAGTTTCAGCAGCGGCTAAATCAGGATGCCTGGGGCAGAGCAGCTGAGGTGCTGCTGGGTTGCTCCAGTAGCGCCGCTCCTCGGTGCTACTGGACGAACCCAGCAGCACTCCATCTGCTCTGCCCCAGGCGTC